AAGACTTTGAAAAAAATGTTTAATTTCATATTTAATTATCGCGATCATATCTCATCGCCTATTAAAACAAAATAGCTTTATCGTAATATTTTATATATATTTTATATTATTAAACATTTTGAGAAACTGGGACCACTTTTTTTTCGAGAGAATTTAAAATTTTTTCTTCTTTGTATCTTCGAGAAAAAAAAATTTGCAAGTTTGTCAAAGTTTTTAAATAATAATGCATAGTTTTTTTAGTTGAAAAATCATATAAGAGAATATGTAAAGAAAATTAAAATTGCATTTCTGAATTTTGTAGAAATTTTTACTCAAAAGAGAAAATATTACATTTAATATGTGTAATAGTTTATTTAATGGAATTAGAGAAAAATATATTTAAAATTTGGAGGCATTGTTGGAATCAGAAGATCTTGTTGTAAATTATTGCTAATTTTAAAAAAATGACATTTTGTGACAAGAAATGTTAAAGTAGTCGTTGCACTAAAAAAATTATTAAATCAATAAATATTTATTTCAATACTGCTTTATAAATAATTTATTGGAAACAAATGTTATCTCTCTTAAAAAGGATTTCCTTGCATCAAATAAATAATTTTGCCCATCAAATTAATATTATTAGTTTCAAATAAATTTATAAAGGAGTATTGAAATAAATATTTATTTGAAGTCAATAATTTTTTTTTCAGTGCGCAAACATTTTTTCATATTCATAATTATCACATTTTAAAAACCAAAATTGAGGCACATGAAATCGTAACAATTCAACTAAATCAAAAACTGTCCAAATCTATAAACTAATATCCGTCACAGAAAATTAAAATCGCATCGAGTATAGGAATGTTGTTTTCGATGAAAAAAAAAATCCTACATTTTGCGGCGAAAAAAATCTGCTCGCGATCGAGCCGAGGCGCATCGCGCAGGATTTCGCGAGAATGATAGGGATGCATTCACGCGTCCGGCCGGTCATTATCCTCGCATCGATGCATGACGATGATGCTCGTCAGCTAGTCGTGAAATCCGATGCGATGCATCGCGGGCAAAAAGCATACGAAGTCCCGGAAGCATTCGTGTATGTGCGATCGTGAAAGCCGCGTGTAACTATTTAAAGGGCTTCCCGATTTAAATCACCGGTCGGGAAATAAGGCAAGGCCCGCCGTATAAATCCGAGAGGCGTATCCCGGGGACCCCGGGTCTGCTGCATTCGAGTTTTCGCTTTCAAAACTCCGGGGCTACTACCTGAATGCGGAGATCCGAGAAATATTTGGCTCGCGATAGTTCATCTTAACGGTTGGCAGCTGGCGAGCGAGTATCTCTCGAAAATACGGAGTGTTGTTTATACACCGAGAGGATTTACTCTTAGAATTTATTCCGAAAGTCCTGGTAATCGTGGGACCATATGGTTTTGGAAGAATTTTAATTTAAAAAATATTAATGTGTTAAATTTAATGGGAAAATTAATCCGCAAATTGGGTCTTTTAAGTTTATCCTATATTTAAAAGAATTTTAATTTAAAAAATGTTAATGTGTTAAATTTAATAGGAAAATTAATCCGCAAATTGGGTCTTTTAAGTTTATCTTATATTTAAAAAATCGTGGGATCATATGGTATTTAAAAAATTTTGGATTATTTGTTAATACAGGTTTATTTTGTTATGGAATTTTGCTTGTTCTTTAAAAATCCTGGAAATGTGCTTAAATTTTTCGTAGATCCTTGATTTTTTTTACTTGTGAACATTTAGTTTCTTCGGATTGTCTTAAGAATAAAATAATTTTACTGGTGAAATGAGTTGTTTTACTTATAAAAATATTGTAAATCGAGTCATTTCATCAGTAAAACAACATTTTTTCGCCAAAGTTTATGAATCGAGTCAAGTTTTACCATTATAAATATATAGATTTCATAAGGCTGTATCTATCTAAAAATATTCAGCTGAGATTATTCGAGTAAAAAATATTTCAGTTATCTTACTTCGTAAATAATACAATGTACTATTTATTTACAGAATCCAACAAAAGTGTTACAAATAAGTTATTTCTAGATTTTAAATATTCAAATATAAGAGAATATTTTATCGAACATTATAATGGATATGTTTATTTTTGTTAACGTGCAATTTATATCGACTAGATTAGAAAAATAAAATACTTTATTCCTTGTACATATTGATTATATTACTAAAAAAATCGTCCTTAATTCCACTAAATGGCAGCCGAGATTTAAAGACACAAATCTGTTTTCTCGCAATTTTTTTGACACTAGACTTTTATATGTGATAATAACCAAATATTGTTTAAACAAAACGAAATTTGAACAGCAGTTTGGAAATTTTTGCCTTAAAAGATCCAGATTGCTGATGAAGGGTTAATAATAAAATAATATATTTCGAACATATTTTATATCTCATTGTGATAGATATTAATATTTTTTATTGTAAAAATATTAATCAAGGAAACTCTTATATAATTCTTCCAATACCATATTATCCCACGATCGTATCAAATTCAAATCTTTTTTTATGCTTGTTTGTCTCATTCTGAACGAATCCATTAAAGATTCAAAGAAGAAAAATTTGCTCTGTTTTGCAGGCAACGACGAGTTAATTTATGAACAGATAATTTATTGTCCGATAAAAATTCGCGAGAAATTGGGAAAATCTATCGAATAATTGATCGAAGAATATAAAAGAAACACATGAGATTTGTATAAAATTAATTCCTGCAACAGAGCATACATTTAATTATAAGATTCTTTATTCTTACATAGAGAACGATTGAATATTTTTAACTCTCCATCACACAGCAATCATTATTTTATCAAACTGCAAATTGGGTCTTTTATATTATTATTTGTATGTTCTAAGATTTTCAAAAAATCTAAAATAATTCTAGTTTATCTGTTAATATCTCTATTACAATATCCAATAGATTTAAAGTTTATAAATATTAAACCCAATAGTTTAGACAAAACGAATTTTGAACAGCAATTTGGAAAAATGGAAATTTTTGCCTTGAAAGACTTAGATTGTTGATGGAGAGTTAATAATAAAATAATATTTTTTAACAAGAAATTCTTCGAATAGAGCACCTGAGAATTTCCACTGGATAGTTTCCAATCCCGATTAGATTAACTGCGTTTATCCTGACATTGCTTCGACCTTATCTCGCATGCACGTGCATGATAGCACGAAGTTTCACTACCACGATAATATATTCGATGATGACGGTCATTTTCGCCCAGACAGCGGGCAAAGTGCAAAAATGTACAACGCATCCCGATAAACATTGCAGTCGATTTCAAATGAGAATTAGTAAAAAATTTGATTATTTGATAGATGCGTTGCTTACGGAAACAATCTTTTGCATTTAAAATTGTGAAGATTACCAAGCAAATATTAACGTGGGAGATATTCAATTGTACATAAATTTTCTCAGTCATCCGAAATAAACAATATTTATACACATTCGAACGCGAACGTCATGTTTTACATTTCAAGTTCTTTTATCAACAGTGCTTCCGTTGTGGAAAAAAACCTATTGTTCACGTTTGACATACGCGAAAAATAAAATTTGAGCGTGTTATGGAAATATTTTTTTCGTGTTATCAAAATGTTCACCATAGACTCCAACTTCCTGCGATATCACCATGAGAAACATTAATAATAAAAAAATATGACGTATATAATACTTTATTATATAAGTTATATATAAATAAATTTTCAAGATAACTAATTAATTAAAAAATAATTAATTAATAATAAAAATAATAAAAGTAATAAAAAGAAATAAATAATAAATTTGAAAATGATTAATTATTAATTATTTCACGATAGATTATTTATACAAAAATGTGAGCAATGAATTATTTAAACATTCTCCTGGCAAGCTGTGTGATTTTATAATGTGAAGGAGATGCACCGTATGTGATTCCACACATACATATATGTATATATACGCGAATCGAAAACATCTGCTCGGTTTTTCTCACGCGGCCGAATTTATTTGGGATCGCGTGGATGGTAAGAAGAAAAATGTGCGTGAAACCGATGGAGGAAAACGAAGACGATAAGGTTGTCAGCATGATCATCAACTACTTTAGCACGAGGGTAAATATTGCGAAAAGCTGATCGAGAATTCTACAAATGTGTATAAAAAATCTGTTTAAACAGTTCCTGAACTTTAGTGATAAATCGAGATTTATTCGCTTAGGAATTATAATATGATGGTTCACGACGACTTTAATTTTTAATATACAACACGTATCCTGTATATATTCCTTACAATTTTTTAGAAACAATTCTGTGACGTTTCTTCAGAAATATGTATAATTTGGATCGATTAATTTTCCTGGATTGATTTGAATCTTCATCTTTTTATTGTGATGATTATTATATTTGGAAGATGTAAAATCGCTATTTTTAATTGGTATACCATTAAATTGGTGCTTCTTGCAGTCTATTAAGATATAATATTGCAGTCTATTAAAATAATATTGTGAAATGTTTTCTTTTGCTTTTTTCACGTGTCAAATATTTTTTATATCTATCGACTATATTTATACTTTTTACATCCATTTAAAAACGTATCAAGTTTTTTTTTTAAATAACAATCAACTACATCTGTTTCTTGCTTTCTCTGTAGTTTAAAAAAATACATATAGCGAATTTACAAGATCAAAAATAAATAGCGTGTTTTCTAGTGATATACAATCGTCCAGAAAACAAAAATACAAGTCACATTTATAGGATATAAATGTATATTATTTCACAATTGTGCATATGAAAAAAAGCCTATAAAACGGCATAAAAATATAATGAAAATTTATTTTTACGACAGATTATCAAAACTTGTTATTACACATATAAATACGCATAAGCCACCAAAAATATTTATTTTAACCGTGTGCATCCAAAATACATGTGTATTTTTTCTCCATCACATGTTTCCTTAATCCTGTCAAAAAATGTTGAAGTTTGACCCGAGATTACCTCTTCTTCCAGAATTTCTTCTCGAAACGGTCGTTCCGGTCGAACCCTCTGAAGAGAACGAAGAGCGTAACGAAGCTCGAGCGGCAGAAGCAACGAGGCGCCGGTCTTCGGGGTTGCCGTTCGCACGAGTCTCTCTTATGCGGACAGGCGGTGACCTCGATGGACCTCGCGGCGGTGACGCCGCTGCATCCCAGCCTCCTCGGCAGGCCGCACTGCTTCCAGGTCACGCCGAGCACCGGCGGGCCCAAGTATTTCAGCTGCAGAACCGCTCACGAACGGGACCAGTGGTTGCACAGGTCGGTATACATATATATATATTGCCTTTTTATTTATCGCCTCGTCTCGAGACTTGATCGCTTCGCCCGGCTATTCGTTTTCTTCTTCTTGCGAGAAACGAGACACGCCGCCGATTATCTCGAGTATTCGCCCGGGGTCCAGAGTGTCCTAGATTCGTTGTTTCTCAATCGCAAAGTCGCGGACGAATCTGATATTTGGCTTTGATCGAGTGCAAAGTTCAATGTATCTCGAAAATCAATATAAATAAGTGCTTTTGCAGCCATGTTGTGAATTATGATTAATTTTGAAATATATATTAATCTTCTGGCTTTAAGAAAATTAAATTTCATTATGCCATTTTTATTGTATAAAAATTATTTGCGAGGAGTTGGTTATAGTGTACCAAAAATTATCCTTGATACGGTTTATTTAAATTACCTCAGATTATCTAATAATAACTACCTCAAATTACTTAAGATTATCAAATATTACCTCAAATGACCCAAGATTACCTTAGAATCGAGGGATTGGTCATTAGTTTAGGGGTTGGTTATAGTGTGCAGTGTATGACTAATTTTGAAATATGTATCAATCTTCTGGCTTCAAGAAAATTAAGTCATTATACCATTTTTATTGTATAAAAATTATTTGCGAGGAGTTGGTTATAGTGTACTAAAAATTATCCTTGATACGGTTTACCTTTAAATTACCTCAGATTATCTAATACTACCTCAAATTACTTAAGATTACCAAATATTACCTCAAATGACCCAAGATTACCTTAGAATCGAGGGATTGGTCACTAGTTTAGGGGTTGGTTATAGTGTATAAAAAATTACTCTTGATACGGATTACCTTTAGATTACCTTTAAATTACCTCAGATTATTTAATACTATCTTAGATTACCTAATAGTACCTCAGATTACCTAATACTACCTCAAATTACTTAAGATTACCAAATATTACCTCAAATTACCCAAGATTACCTTAGAATCGAGGGATTGGTCACTAGTGGTTATAGTGTACAAAAAATTACCCTTGATACGGATTACATTTACATTACGTCAGATTATTTTAATACTACCTCAGATTACCTAATACTACCTCAGATTACTTAAGATTTCCAAATATTACCTCAAATTTTCTAAGATTACCCCAGATTTTTCCAAATATCTTCGAGAACGTCGATTTATCAATAATGTTCACTAACTTTCAAAATTAAAGATTACCTTAGATTACCTCAAATTATTAGAGACTACCTTAAAAATACCTATAATTATCTACAGATTATTTGATATTATCCTTAGGATACTTAGATTTCCTGTTAGATTACCCAAGATTACCTGAGACTGCTAAAGATGATTTAGAATTATCAAAAATTACCTTGCATTACCCAAAATTTCCTTTAGATTACCGCTGAATTACCTTGTACGAAAAATTACCTCAGTGACCAACCCCTCGACTATTTGTGATTTATGAATCAATATTATAATGAAGGAAATGCGAGAATGAATTGGTTTTATGTTTGCACAGCTTAAGGAAATCCGTTCAGCCGGATGCGGAACAAACACGCCGAACGGACAATTCCCTGCAGATCTGGTTATTGGAGGCGAAAGGTGTACCTGCAAAGAAGCGATACTTTTGCGAGGTCTGCCTGGACAGCACCTTATACGCGCGAACGACTGCCAAGCTGAAGGCTGACTTGTGCTTCTGGGGCGAGCACTTCGATTTTCACCACTTGCCCTCCGTCAACACGATCCAGGTTAATCTGTACAGGGAGGCGGACAGGAAAAAGAAGAGGGACAAAAATGTTTTAATAGGTAAGCATCATCCAATTGCGAAGAGTCTCAATATTCTTGTTCCAATTTTTTTTTAATTAAATTTATTAATTAATATTAATTGCAATGTAATATTGTGTCTTCATGTACGACCTTCTCTTCAGGTTCTGTCAGTATACCGGTGCACAACGTGACCTCGCGTTACCTGACGGAGAAATGGTATACTGTAGTAGGTGACAAAGGACCTCTCAAGGAGCCACCCGCATTAAGAGTGAAATGCCGCTTCCAGTCGGTCGACATTCTGCCAGTTCAGGTCTACCAAGAATTTCTGGAATATCTGAAGACCGATTACGCGGCGCTATGCGAGAAACTGGAACCCGTCATAGGTGTCAAGGCGAAGGAGGACATCGCGACTGCCTTGGTGGCAGTCATGCAACGGGAGAAAAAGGCGCCGCAATTCCTCGCGGATCTTGTCATGATGGACATTCATCGAATAGGTCTTTATCAAGGATTTTTATTCATTATTCTATTATTTTTTTATTATTTAATCTCTCCAGTTTGTTAATTTATATAATTGATATTTTTTGTTTGCATGAACAATTGCTTTATATGAGAGTTAAATAGGAATACAGGAATTCTTAATAATTAATTGTAGCGAGAAAAATGTATTTTCTCAATAACCGACGCAACCATTTGCTACAATTTATATTTGTTCATCGATATTCCAGATGATGAAAGACTCACGTTTCGAGGGAATTCGTTAGCTACGAAGGCGATGGAAGCCTACTTGAAACTGACCGGGGACAGATATCTACAGGAGACTCTGGGAGCGGTTGTGAGAGGCGCGGTCGAAGGCGGCGATTGCGAAGTGGATCCGCTCAAGGTCGCTTCCGTCGCCGCGTTGCACAAACAACAGCAGAACCTTCGCAACGCCGTGGAGCTAGCCTGGAGCAGAATATTGTCGAGCCACTCTCACTTTCCGCTGGAACTGCGCGAGTGCTTCCGCATCTTCCGCGAACGTCTGGCCGATCTGGGTCGGGAGGACATCGCGGACAATCTTATTTCCGCGTCGATCTTTCTGAGATTCCTCTGTCCCGCCATTCTCAGTCCATCTCTCTTTAATATTACTCACGGTAAGTCGAAACGCCATATTGACACTTTGGGTTATTCTAATTAATGCATATCGTTTTTTTACGAATAACAAATCATTTTCGCCTTAGAATATCCGAACGAGAAAGCAGCGAGAAATCTCACTCTGGTCGCAAAAACGCTTCAGACGCTCGCAAACTTCACGAGATTCCAGGGCAAGGAAAACTTCATGGAATTCATGAACGATGTACTCGAGCGTGAAGCTCCGTCTATGAAGAATTTCTTGCAATTGATTAGCGTAAGCATATCTCTTTCTCTCTCTTTCTCTTATTCATCGATACATATTTAATGTCTAACATATTTTTCCACTTGACAGAACCCACTGCCAAAGGACGCGCCGGCCAACACTTCGCTCGAGTTTGACGGCTATATAGATTTAGGCAAGCAGCTGTCGCTGCTGCACGCTCTTCTGCGAGAAAGTATGGCGGCGATAGTGCCCTCCTCGCCGTCGATGCCGCCGTCACGACTGCCCGAGATCCTCGACAGAATCTCCTTGGCTCTGGACCAGCCGGGTCCGAGTCCGGTGCCCGCCGCTCATCGTTATCCGAATCTACAGAACAACATTTTCCGCTACAACGACCCGACGATCGCCAACAGCAACACGAATCTCTCCATCTCGGCCACGTCGACCCTGAGCAATCACAGCACGATAAACGGCACGATCAGGGACAGCAACGAGGTGCTGCAGACCAACACTCTCGGTCACAACAGCTCGCGCAGCCCGAATGTCGCCAGGGCGGCAACTCTGCCGCGAAACGCTTACCTGCCGACGAACGGCAAGCTGCAGCTGCAAATCAGCTCCGACGACTACCCTCTGGAGCCACCGGCGTTCGTCTCGCGCTCGCCAACGCCGATCACGCGGCAACACAGGCCCCTCGGGTCTAATCGTTCCGGGCCCGGTTACAGACTGACGGCCAGCGCGAGCCTGGCGAACGTCAATCACTGCCAGACTCATCCGACGAGTCCCACGCGTTCCGAGAGTCACAATAATCTAAAGGACTCCAACTATAACATCACCTCGCCGCAGAACAATCAGCCGGGCAACGGAAGCATTGTCTTGCAGCAGCAGCAGCAACAACATCGGCACAACATCGCGCGCCTCGCGCAGAGTCTCGATATGCATGATCGCGAGGACAATTACAATCACAATAACTACAATGTCTCGAGGTCCGCCAGCCGGAATCACTGTCACAAGGAGGAGAACGCGAATCAAACGCAGCAGCGCAACTACAATGTCTCGAAGACTACGGTGAACGCGAATGTAGTCGTCAATCCACCTACGAATCTCACGTTATCTATTAATCATCATCAGCCCAATAACAATTACAATCCTTCGAAGACAAACAATCACCACGCCACGTCCGCCAACGGCAATCTCGACGAACTGTCCGATTTGCTAAGATACGCTGACGACGAGGTGTCGGAGTCCAAATCGCAGAAAGGCTCGCAGATCTCCATCTCGCAGCTGAGCAACGTGGCTTCTTCCGGCTACCAGAGTTTCGCCGCTTATAGTCAGAGCTCCAGTCCGGTAGATCTCAGCAGTAACAACGCGAACGCGCATATTCTCGGTGCAGCGCCGTTGGCGTTCGCCAACCCCGTTTACCACATGGAATCCAATCACGCGAGAACTGGTAGACGAGATAGCAGCAGTTCCGAGGAGAGAGAGGGTAGTGGCGGCGGCGGTGTCGATAGTGTAAGAGGAGTCGACCTGAGTCCCTCACCACCACCGAAGAACAACATGCGAAATCACCAAAGGAATAATCAGAACCAGTGGCGACAGGGCAATCAAACCCACAGAAACAACTTGGAACACGCACAGGACGTCTGCACAAAACTCCGAAGGAGGCTCTCCCTGGACTCCACCAGGGACCTATCGGAGGACACCAGTGAAGAGGAGAATTGCACTACCAGGCGGAGCAAGTCTCGCAGTCATCGAAGCATCGATCAGGTAAGATATACTTGCAATTGATTTTAACCATTAACTGATCGAAGGACTTAATTGTTATCTATTGTATCCGAGAGGTCTGTAATTTTTCTAAACTCAATTGTGAATAACAGATTCTTTACTTGTAATGACAGTAATTTTCTGTAATCTATCGTCTACTTATACGAATATATTCTTTCCATCTTTCTACTAATACGCTACGTGTTTTCTTCCTTTCCAGTACGAAGTGGATATGTTTGAAGTGGAGAGGTTGCAGAATAGCGTAGATCGGCTGCGATTACGCGCGCGATTAGGTGCTACCGACGATGCCGATTTAGACCTTGCGCCCGACAACAACATGAAGAGCATCATTTCCAGGTACTTCAGCTTCATCTCCTAGTCCACATATCGCTAATCCACTACCGGTTCTTTGCCTGAGTGTGAACCCTGAATACCATCGTGGATCATTATCATTTCTTATGCGTCTTTCACTTGGACATCTCAGCCATGTTCAGCCGCTCTCGATCTTCCATATCCTCATTTTTCGACTCGTTCGTTTCATTTAAAACTCTTATAAAAAAAAAAAATTCTAAAGAAGTGTAAAATGGATACATTTGAATTGATAATATTCAGATTTGATATTCTACTTTCATTAAATTAAATTTGTCGATCAATTGTCTTATAGATTTCAATTTTATGAGCGACGCGAAGATTCTGTTAATTGAAAACTGTTGTGTACTTTTATATTAGAGAATGAACTTGGTCTAATCGCGGATCCAACTTTTTCTATGTCTAACGGAACTAATGGGGAAACACTCATCCGTATATATGAACGGCTACTTTATCGAAATGATGTATGTTTAACTGATTGTGTGTTCCTTGTGCATTCTATCCGCTGCATTTGGTATACTCTGGCTTGATCTGGATCTTTGGTGTAAGAGTCAATTATATTTCTTACAAGCTTTTTTCTTACATTTTTTACATTTGTTACATGTATATTAGATATCTTCGTGTACTTTGAAAACATCGCGAGGTCGCGTTTCGTCGCTCGAAATTATTATAATAAACTGAATGAAAATCTACGTTCACCGATCAATCTTAATCAATCTCTCACCGATTGTCGACTCATAAAACACCATCACACTCTTACGACACAACGTTTTAACACGTTTCATGCTACTCATGTGCACGGACATTCTGTGATTCCTAGCAGTTATTTGCGTATCATAAAAAAAAAAAAGAAATGTTACATGATTTCATTACATTCAACATTTGTGTGGACATTTCTTTTTTCTTCTTCCGTTTACATATGCATTACAAAACAAACACACACAGTTACTTGATTAATTCTAGGAAAGTTTCTTATACCTCAATTATACTTGTATAAAAAATGTTTCAAACTCTGCACCAAAACACTATTGCTTTTGCAGCTTTGTTTCTTTATCTATCAATGTTGTTTCATTAACTATGCATCGTGATGAGCTTGATTCTTTTTCAACTTTGCTGTAACGTCTCTCAAAGTTTCTACGTAAAAAAAGCTTCATCAATAAGCTGGATATCTAAAATAAGTAGCAGTTCGAGAGAGAGAGAGAGAGAGAGAGAGAGAGAGAGAGAGAGAGAGAGAGAGAGAAAGAGTTCATAGGCGAAGCTCAATTCATGTGCTTGACTCCTCGACGTTCTTTATTCTTCAGCACAGTAATGCAACCATTCCAGCATCCTTGAACAATCTTTCAATCGAAAGAATAAGGATCGTTTCGAGGAAACATATGTTCCAAAGTATAAAATTTTCTGTCGACCAGTTCTTTCTCTCTATCTATTCTTCTCCATCATGTCAATCGCAATATAACAACGTCCTCGTTTTTGCCCGCAGATTAATCTCCGTGGAGGAGGAGCTACGTCGCGAGCAGCAGAAGATGTCGGCGGCGTTGTCGTACAAGCAGCGCGTGATCGACGCGCAGGAGCAGCAAATAGCCGCCCTGGGTGCCGCGAATTCGCGCCTCATGTCGACCAACGCGAGTCTGCTGTCGGCCTTGAGCAAGCAACGGTTTAACGCCAAGTCCCAGGCGAGCACCGAGGCTGCGCCGCTGCTGCAGAACATCGCTGACATCGGCGAACTTAAGAGCTCGTCGTGCTAAGCGACTTGGTCGAGAAAGAAGAGAAGATCCTTCAACCCTGACGAAACTGTTCTTTGAAGAGTGCGGATCTGCAGACGATGACGCTCGTCTCTCCCTTGAATGATGATCTTGTAGCAATTTCTATCAGACGATTGGGTTTGTTGCCGGATGTAAGGATTCTGATAGAATTGAATTTTGCGAACTAATGCGTGAGGAATTTTCTCACCGTTTGGAGAGATGTGCCGAGAATGTATGGGTCTTCCTTGTGCGATTCGCTGCACACATTCTCGCCTGAGTAATTAACAAAATTTTGCGTTCGAAACCTGTAAACATGAGTATAGAGTGTCGCAAAAATTTGAGAATGCGTGAAGCATCGTCAGATTGAGAAACGCAGCACGGAATAGATTATACAATCACAAAAAAAAAAAGAGAATGGCGCGCGAAAAAATAGAGGCTACTTAGTGAATAGACAGACCAAGTAAGTAGAAAATTTTCGTCGAGTTTATATAATGTGACATAGCGTTAGGCTAGGTTTATTTGTAAAACGCGAGTAAAAGGAAAACCCGCGACTCGTCCGAGAATCTCCGAGATTATCACCGGAAATTGTCCCGAAGACGATAATGGACCCAGTGAGAATTAAAAAATGATATCGCGTCCGCGAGTCTCCCTTCGACCTTGGCGACTTTGCTTCGTTCGGCAAGAACGAAACGAAAGTGGCAACGAGACCAATTTTTCAATGTTAACTCTCAAATTGAGAGTCTTTGAATACGAATTATTTATACGAATCATATGTTTGTTTCCAATTAACAAGCGCGCACGAATAGAAGTTTACAAGAATAAACTTTGTTAAAACAATATTTGATATGTATGTAAAGTACGAGTCAAAAAGTTTAAGTACACGTAGCTTCTAGCTTATCAATTATATACATATAGTCAAATTTTTACTCTGCCTTGCAAATTGCACGATATGACAGTTTGTACTGGGTATGCAAAAAGAAGGATCAAGTTCCAATTGGGTCACCTAATTAAGAATTATCTCGGACACTCGGATGACACGGTGTACCCCGAAGAAGCCCCGATCGACGAATTGCGTACATTCGTTTCCCTTGTTTCTACAGTATAGTATTTATCTATTCACGCACAACCACAAACACAAACACACACATGCACCATAATACTTATATAAGCATAATACACGAGGATTAATAATAATATTGGCGACACATTAAGACATACAAAGCTGCATCCTGGAACACCGGATCCGTAAACCGCAGGTATAGGTGTGTATATTTTTCTAGTTTGTTCCCTTTCGAGTGTGCGTAGTCTCTCACGATCCGGAAGAAAACGCGATTCTCAAATTCTTACGCGCGATTTTCGATCACTGAAGCCTGTGTTACGGCTCATCACGACGAATATTTATATAGCCGGAAAATATTATATATATATATATATATATAATAGTTCGCGCGATTCATTTTTTAAACCTTCGAGAAACGGAAGACACTTCTTCCGCGACCAAAAAAAAAAAAAGAAAAAGAAAAAAAATAGGCGAGAGTCCGTCGAGCGACAGAGCTCTCGACGAATTGACTCATCTCCAAAGCGACGTTCTTCGAATTTTTCTATATCTCGACGAGCCGCGTGCAATCTTTTACCTTTGCATCCAGCACGTGACCCTTTATTACCCTAAGCGACGATATTTATTTAGTAACGTCTACCAAAGATGAAGAATTTCACATTGTAAAGAGAGAGTAATCGAGAGAGATTTATGTAAGATATTTGGTTTTTTTTTACCGTTCCCGGTGATGGAATAATTAATTATTAATTAATTAACATACGCATGGAATCACGAACGCGGCGGGAAGCGACGAAAATTCGAGAACCATTTTTTCTTCTTGCTTCGCCATCGCAATCGAGATTGATCTGTAAAAAACAAATCTGTTTTCGAGATTCCCGAGCCGCGTAAATCGCAGATCGCCCGATAATTCTGCACACAAGTAGCGTAAAACGCATGACATTTGATTAATTGATTAATTAGATTTTTAAGAATTGTCTCGCTCGTTCGCAAAGCATTAAATGTGTTACGTTTTACATCACAATAACAATTATTCTTATCGTAGCCATTGATCGTACAACACGATGTTGCGTAAAAGATTCGAGTGAGAGAACGAGCGGGAGAGAATGAGAGATTGTAAGAGTAATTCCATGATGAGAGAAGTGAGAGAGAAGATTATAATCAGTCTAATCTCGTTAAGGAAAAAAAAAGTATTATCTCGTCGACTTTGTATCATAGCGTTATTTCTCGCGTTTGAGTTTCTTGCCTCACGCCGATTATTTTTGTATAGAGATTGTCCTACCTTTTTTCTTATTTTATTTCTTTTTGTATTTTTTACTTCACCTTTTCCATTTCCCATGTAAAACCATACTATGCTGCGAACCCTCCTGCCTTTTTAGAAGCCTTTTTCTTCCAAACTTTACTTTCCTCGACTCGAGTCGAGTTTTTGCATCTTATGAAAATTAATATATTAACACTACTTCTCCCTTCTTGTTGGACAATGTAATCGATAAATATCTATTTAAAGAATCACTTAAATAGCGTGTACATTATTAAGTTTTGGTATATTCGTTTCTGCAATAGACCACCTGTATTTAAACATATAGCGACTATTACACTACATGAACAAATAAATACGATTAGACATATTATAAATGTCTGCTCCCTTCATTTACCTCCACTCTAATATTATTTAATCATCAGGTAACTTTCATTTCGTGGTGGCGACAATATAAAAATTTGCAAACGTACAGCATATTAGATCATCATAATCATCTTTTACTTGGCGAACAAAGTCGGTCAGCAAAAAATATTGCTTTTCATAGTAATAATTAAAAAAAAATATATCAATTTAAAATAAATCAATTAGTATCTTGCATTTAATAATACTTTTACTAATATGTAATTAGGTATTATGACTAAGGATATGAAGTTATTGCATTCGCGTTTGCATTAATGAATATTAGTATACTGTTTATGCATTCTCAATCAATTGGAGATATATTTATGATAGCATTCGATGTAATATATTTCTGATCTGCATGCAATAATAGTAATAGGACATTAGAATTGCAAATAAAATTGTCTTGTTATATTTACAATTATATTATACGATTATATGTGAGATATCTTGATCATTTTGAAGATATAAACAGATGTCATGAGTTTTACATTAATAGAAAATAAAATTTATTATATACAATATTTCTCCCTGCACATTTATTATATATTTTCGTTTGCCTTCCCACGATAAGTATATTTCTATATAAAGATCAACTCGTATGATAAACCATTTAGAAAATAAATAATTCAGACAGATTTGAATTTCAAAAAATTTGATTTTATTTAACTTCAAGATTGAAGAGACAAATGTATGATAAATATATTTTTCGTCAAATTTTCTCAAATATTCTGTCAGCTGGCTTTTTTCGCCAGCCACCACAGATGGAGCCATAAGTCCGTCCGAGACCTCAAAATCACGTTAAAATTCAGAATTTGGCGAATTTTCTCATAAACACGGTTCATTAATTAAATTTACCCTGTAACTTAAATTACAGAAATATCTCATGGACGAGTCAATTTTTTCTCTACAATTAATCATCCCTTTTTCCAGCTGAAAATCAACCTGTCATCCGATTGACATCGTATATACATACGTCACGCCACAAAAACAATCAATTATATTAATCAGATAAATGATTGCGAATCGCTCGAGCGATCGGCAAGAAAAAAAAACGCGGATCAAAGTTCCCTCTCCATTTCGTTGCCTCGATATTTCAGCGGCTTTCGCGGAAAGAATCATGAATGAGCTAATCGCATTAGCCGTATAATCCGCGGATGTTTATCGCCGCGCAATCAGCGCCGGAATGGGAGTGTAAACAGGCGGTCAGCAAGCGATCATTGCCAATCAATCTAATCGAGATGAGCCTCGATTACGGCGGCGACCCTCGAAAAATCAATAACACGTACCCCTAGCTGTGCCAACGTCGACGGTATTTCTAAGGTAGCGTGTGCGAACGAACGGGAAATTATTTCTCTGAAACATGCATTTTTGAGTCGTTCGTTAAATACAATTCCGTCCGATGCGGAAATTTTACGGAGCCATTCTTAGCGCGTGTTTAATAACTAAAGTGTCTCTGCATCTTCGGAGATGTTCTCTCTTTTATAGTAGGAGAGAATTTTATTTGGGAATTTTTGCCCTGAAAATCATAATAATCGTGGGGAAATATAATATTGGAAGAGTTTTGTAACAGTTTTCTTGATTAATTATTTATTACAATAAAAAATATTAATATCTAGCACAATAAGATAAATATATAATTTTCCTTTTCAATGCACAAATAAAGAGAAAAACATGAGATATTTTGGATTATATTTCTGTATCAAAACTTGATTGCATTGTTTAGTTTCATTTAAAAACTGCAGATTATAAACTTAAAAAAGATGATTAAAGTAAAAGAAAAAAATAATTTTATCTTATAATTTACCCTGAAAATCATAATAATCGTGGGACAGTATAATATTGGAAGAGTTTTGTAACAGTTTCCTTGATTAATTCTTTATTACAATAAAAAATATTAACATCTACCACAATAAGATAAATATATAATTTTCCTTTTCAATGCACAAATAAAGAGAGAAACATGAGATATTTTGGATTATATTTCTGTATCGAAACTTGATTGCATTGTTTAGTTTCATTTAAAAACTGCAGATTATAAACTTAAAAAAGATGATTAAAGTAAAAGAAAAAAATAATTTATCTTATAAAATTTACCCTGAAAATCATAATAATCGTGGGACAGTATAATATTGGAAGAGTTTTGTAACAGTTTCCTTCATTAATTATTTATTACAATAAAAATATTAACATCTAGCACGATAAATATATAATTTTCCTTTTTAATGCACAAATAGAGAGAGAAACATGAGATATTTTGGATTATATTTCTGTATCAGAACTTGATTGCATTATTTAGTTTCATTTAAAAACTGCAGATTATAAACTTAAAAAAGATGATTAAAGTAAAAGAAAAAAATAATTTTATCTTATAATTTACCCTGAAAATCATAATAATCGTGGGACAGTATAATATTGGAAGAGTTTTGTAACAGTTTCCTTGATTAATTATTTATTACAATAAAAAATATTAACATCTATTCCACAATAATTGCTGTATCAGAACTTGATTACATTATTTAGTCTCATTAAAAAAACTGCAGATTATAAACTTAAAAAGGTGATTAAAATGAAAGAAAAATTACTACAATTGTTCGCAAGTTGCTTTAATTGTAAAATATCCAAAGCAAAAAAATTATTAATACACGGAGAGAATTTTTTCTTAGAATTTACCCTGAAAATTATGGTAATTGTGGGACAATATCGTATTGGAAAAATTTTATAAAAATAATTTTATATAAGTTTCTTTGATTAATATTTATTACAATAAAAAATATTAATATGTATAATATAATATAATATGTATAATCGAACAAATTTAAAAAAAATAATAATCGAACAAATATTATAATAGTATAATATAATAGTATAATCAAACAAATTTTATATCTTATTGTAGTAAAAATATTAATCAGAGAAACTTATAAAATTCTTTCAATACGATATTGATTTTCTGGATTTTCTAAGAGAAAATTCTCGCTGTGCGTCGATCAGCATTTTTTCGCTATTGTATCTTAAGGGGATCCTAAATGCACGGGCGAACTCCGATAGGGTCGATAATGAAGATTTTTTAAATATAATTATCGACAAAACTCTATAGATGTCGCAATAAAAAAGTTGTCAATCGACACACACATACATATACAGGGTGTCCCATTTTATATAATTTATAATTATATAAAAATTATATATACACAGGTTGTTACACATACATATACACATATGTATGTGTGTGTGTATTTATACAAGGTGTCCCATTTTTACTACCCCTAATATCTCTTCGTTTCAATGCATTTTATAATAAAACAACAAAAGTTATACGGTTTCAAAGGAACTATAAAATAATACCATTAGTGTTGACCTTGCACAGTCATAAAGATTACGTGAAAGTCACTATCACATGATAAGTTATAAAGTTTCAACATTGCAATATCGCTTCTGAGAATTTTGCGCACATGCAAACTGCATCTGGGGTAAAATATTTTGTACAGTTATCAGCAAACGAATAGATCGCCTGTGGAATTATTTTTTAAAACAACCAGCACACGAATAGATCGCCTCTGGAATTATTTTTTAAAACAACCAGCACACGAATAGATCGCCTCTGGAATTATTTTTTAAAACAACCAGCACACGAATAGATCGCCTCTGGAATTACAGTTTTAAAACAACCAGCACACGAATAGATCGCCTCTGGAATTACAGTTTTAAAACAACCAGCACACGAATAGATCGCCTCTGGAATTACAGTTTTAAAACAACCAGCACACGAATAGATCGCCTCTGGAATTATTTTTTAAACCAGCACACGAATAGACCGCCTCTGGCACTAACTACTATAAAAACTATAATAATAATTATCAATTATACATGAAAAAATAAACAAAGGATTGCATTATCTTTCAGATAAAAAAAATTGAGAATTGCATTTTAATAAAAAAAAATTAAAATAAAAATTAAAAATAAAAATAAAAATTGCATTTTAAACGTCTATTTGAATGTTCTTATAAAATTACACCTACATACATACATACATACAAATATATATATATATATATATATATATGTATATATATATTTATATACAGGGTAAACCATTTTAATCTTTGCACTAAAATTTCTCAAAATTCAAAAGTTTAAGACAAAAATGTTTCAGATAAAAGTTGTATGGTTTCAAGGGGGACATGAGATGGTGTCATTGATTTGACCTTGAATAGCCATTTGAAGGTTACGTGACGGTCAACTTCAATTTCTTAAATGGAACACTATATTTTTTCTTGCATACTTTTATAGCTGACTTTAAGATCTTTCCAAAACACTACAATAAAATATTTTTTCATTAAGTATTTTTCGAGTTATAAGGCTGCAAATTTGCAGTATTTTGACATAAAATAGAAAATATCTTGGGAAATATTCATTTTTCGATTATCATACCTTAATAATTTTATGCACAGAATAATGAGACAAATCAATTGGTGTAAAGAAAACACATAGTTGTCTTAAAGAAAAATTATCTAACTGCTTATTGCAATTTTCATATTTTTTTTAAAGGTAAATATGTGTTTTCTTTACACCAACTATATATATCAATATATATGTATCAATATATATATATATATTAATACGATGTTCAGCATAACAATACGTACGATTTTTGAAATGTTTGCAACAGTTTAGAAAAAAATATATATTGTAAAAATTGATCTGTTTTGTGCAATCTATTACAAGCAATAAAAAATGAGGAAAAAAAATTTTTATAAAAAAAATTAGTGTTACCTTGAATTTTTTTTAATAAAATCATATTTTTTTATATAAATCGATTCTCAATATTCTGCATAAGTTGTAATGTAGGATGGCCAAAAAAAGCGAATAGCTTATGAGATATATTATACTTTCATAATGTACATAAACTATGAAATATCTCATGAAATCATTTTCTGATTATTTTATTCCAATTTTAAATCAATTGGTGTAA